TTTTACCAAACGATCACATGAGCATGATGTTGATTTACTTGATTGTCCACAACGACAGGAATTAGAATGTGATGAATGTCGTATAATCCAACAAGATGAAAATTTAGCTCAAGCATTATCAATTAATCTCAATGAACGACGACCATCACCAATTGTGTATACAAATTTCTTACGTGATTATGCCAGGAGAAATTTAGAACTTGTTCAAGCTATTGAACGAAAATTTAGTCTACTTGTTACATAACTGAATATCATGGTCATCCAACACGTCATCATCATGGTTTAAAACTACATTTTTCATTGAAACCAATGCATGTAGATGAAGATCGTTTAATTCATGCATTAGCAACTTTTTATGGTCTTGAAACGCAACAAGTGAATTATGGACCATATAAAAATAAAATTGTTATATATGAGCCATTCCGCATAAGTCACGACCGACTCTCACCGAAGCTGCTCAATCGAGGTCGTCAGATTTTGCTCAATTTAAGTTATGTTGTAGAGGGAAGCGTTCTAAGAATTTTGACACAAGCCGTTTGAAAAAATATCGTTCCGTTCTCGAGATATTTAAATTTTTCTGAGGGCACCATCACCAAAAAAGTGCATTTTTTACTATTTTTTGTGACATTTATATCTCATCAAGTATACATGTATTTGACTTGAAATTTTTACTGTGAATAGATATCATAATTTTGTATTATCAAAAAACAAATTAGCTCAAATGGATGAACCGTTGATGAGTTGACCAATACCACCAAGTGCACGACAAAATTGTCATTTTTTTATATTTTGTGCACTTGCATATTTCATGAAAGGATCAAACTAGAGAGCTGGAATTTTGGTCATAGTGAGATCTCATGGAATACTCATTCCTCTGAAAAATTCAGATGTCTAGATAGTTCCTGTCGTTCAGGAGACCATCATCAAAAACGTGTTTTTGATCAAATCAGGATTTTGAGAGACTTCAATCTAGAGCAAAATGGAATTTATAGAAGTCGGACTCATGTGGGTTTAAAGTACCCACTGAGTACTACAAAGTTATGAAAAAATCTTCGTGGGATCTCAAAAAATGCTCCTAGAAGACTTATTGAAAAATCCTACAAAAATGTGTCTTTTTCTATAGGAAATGTACCAAAGTTCGCTTAGAAATTACTCAAAGAGATTCATCATATAAGATAAATTCTACCCAGTGTAAATCAGCATGTGATCCTCTATGACCCTGCATAATAATATCCTTTCAAAATGAAAAAAAAATTTTGTCGAAAAATCCTCGTACTCCCCTCCAGGGCTCTTCATATAAAACCTTTTTCTCTGAGTACCTGTACCTCCCTAGGGGAATTTTTCGACAACA